TGTTGTTGAAAAAAATTGGTAAAGCTCAAATTTTGATTCGTAGTGATTGCTTGTGGATTTAGGTGTTCTTATTTTTGGTGAATTTTAAGTTATTGGGATAAGTTCTTTTCTTTGATCTTGATGTGGGTTTAATATAAAGAATGGGTATTAGGAATCAGTGAAAGTTATCTAAGATGACTTTTGGGTTAATAATTCCTGATACTGTCAAAACTATCGGCTTTAAAGCAATTTTTCTTTTCTTTTTTTTAAATTTTTGGGCAAAAGTAATTGGGACTTGCATATGCACCATTTTTGAATGTGATGCTGAGAAGTGGAATCGATTCATCAAAATTTTTCAAAGGTTGAAGTGGTTGGCAGTTCTGAATTGCTTTCAACTTTTTTATGCTTGCCAGTTGTTCTGGTTTACTTATCCCTGTCTTTGATACTTAGGATAACTTAGGATAAGAAAAGCGCAACCTCATAAGATTGTGAATATATACCTTGTGTCTCCTACGCTTTTCCTAGACTAGATTGGGCATGTCTTAATGAGCTTGGAATATTATAGGGGTAGCAGTTCAATTTGAAGAAAAAATAATATGAGAAATTGTTTCTTCCAACGAGCTAGAGAAATTGTTTCTTGAAGTATTAGTTTCATGGTTGAAAACTTTATTTATGTAATCTAGTTCATGCACCAAGTTTGCAAATGCTGCTGCTGTGTGGTAATTTGAGATGAGCAATGAATGTGTAAAGGTGCTTTCTATGTTCACAGCCTCCCATCATGATGGGAAGCTCAAGCTCAGTGTTCTTTTTAATGATACAGATTCAAAGTTTATACTAAACCAAATAAAAATTTTGGATGTGACCTGCATGGTGTATCCTGGTCGGTTGTCTATGCTGCTAACATGTTGTCCTCCCAGTTATTTCTTACAGAAAAATACCACCTCAACACCAAATGATAAGAACTTCATTTCTCAGTGCCCTCCTATTACTTCCATGTGAATCAATTTGTTTTTTTTTTTTTTATTTGGTTGCTATAGGAGGAGTAAACATGGGGATTGTAGTCTTTGCATGTGAGAAAGGGATCTTGCTCTTCTGTTTATTTTATTTGCCAATTCATGGTTTAGTAAGAAAGAGGATCAGTTTGTGCTTTCTTGAGTGGGTTATATTTCTGCAGGTACTCCTTGGACGGAAGAGGAACATAGGATGTTCTTAATTGGTTTGCAGAAGCTTGGTAAAGGTGATTGGCGTGGAATCTCTCGTAATTATGTTATATCAAGGACTCCTACTCAAGTGGCCAGCCACGCTCAGAAATATTTCATTAGGCAATCCAATGTTTCTAGGAGAAAAAGACGTTCAAGCCTCTTTGATATCGTAGCAGATGAAGTTAGTGTTCTTTCTCTTTTGATCCATCAATTTACATACCTTGAACGCATGAATTGATGTACATTGTTCACTGGCCCCTGATGCAGGAGACTCTACTGAATATCTTTTTGCCTCATCTCATTCTTCTTTGCCCCTAGTTATCTGATGTACACCCTTCTTCATGTTTTCAGTTAGTTGACACTCCAATGGTATCACAAGACTTATTCTCTACAAACCCGGACCTTCCTCAGGTTGAAACACAGAGCAATGATGACCAGATGCCTGCTCCTCCACCTTTGGATGAAGAAAATGAATCAATGGAGTCTACCAACTCCAACGATGCCGAACCTGCTCCTCCAAAGTCAGAAATCTCCCAGTCCTGCTATCCAGTAATGTATCCAGCCTATTTCTCACCATTCTTGCCAATGTCAGTTCCATTTTGGTCGGGGTACAGCACAGAGCCAACCAAGAATGAAACACATGAAATCCTAAAGCCGACAGCAGTACATTCAAAGAGCCCAATCAACGTTGACGAGCTTGTCGGCATGTCAAAACTAAGTCTTGGAGAGTCTATTGGTGATACTGGCCCATCCTCTCTTTCACTACAGCTTCTTAAAGGATCATCTAGACAGTCAGCTTTCCATGCCAATCCTGCACCAAGCAGTTCAAACATGAATTCAAGCAACAATGCCATCCATGCAGTGTAGGGGCAGCTCTTCTTGAGCTTAGGTTAGCACAGGGTTTGTTATCTCCACACAAGTCATTACTAATAGGAGACAAATAATGTGCAGTATGTCGGGTTGATTTACATATTTCTTTCGTGTTGACTGAATAAGCTTGTGCTTCTTTTGTCTCTTAACTCATTCCAAATAGGCAGCAGCAGCAGCAGCTGTTGCAACTTGTGAGAAATTATTTGAATCGTTAACAGTTTGTGTTCATGACTACATGGTTCTTACTCCATTTTGCTAGCTTTCTTCATTCTGTCTTTGCAATTCACATTTTAAAGGAAAATAAAATAAAAATTAAATTTCCACTTCTGGACCTAATTAGGTGCCCAATTAGGTGGACCCAAAAGGCAACAACTTGATCCAAGCGTAAACCCATAATGCCATCCAGAGTCTAGACTCCACGCAGTTAAGGTCCAATAGAAACTTAGAAAGTATAAGAAACTTCCATTGCCGAGGGAACAAGCAAAGATGAGGGGCATCGTCGATCTCAACAGAAGCGGTGTCACCTTCAAGCCATGGAACAGGAGGAAACTCCAGCACAGATCATCGCTCTTCGTTCTCTCGCTCTCTCTTGTTGCTCTTCTCTGTTTCTTCTTCTACTACACCCATATCCCAAGTTCCCTCCTTTCAATCTCTGCTGAAAACTCTGGCGCCCGAGTCCCGCAATGCAGAACCTCCACCCTCGGCCAAAAGTTCCTCTGGTACGCACCTCATAGTGGGTTCAGCAACCAGCTTTCGGAGTTCAAGAATGCAATTCTCATGGCGGGTATCTTAAACCGGACCTTGATTGTCCCTCCTATTCTTGATCACCACGCGGTGGCTCTTGGGAGCTGCCCCAAGTTTAGGGTTTTGGGGCCTAAGGAGATCAGGGTTTCTGTTTGGGATCATGTGATTGAGCTCATTCGAAGTGGGAGGTAACTGGGTCTCGAACTCTGTATAAGTATGAGCTTACTTGTATAATGTCTATTTCCATTTCTTTACGTGTTCAAAACATTGAATTCTGGGTTGCGTTGGTTCTTAGTTCTCCTTAAAATGCTCTTTGGGAGAAGCTATTAATGCTAGTCAATGTGCCATTTCTCTTGTTTTTGTGTAGCTATAGATGCATTGGATTTTTATCATGCTTAAAATTTTATTTTTATGCTGATGTGAAATGTGATCTTAAGAACATAGGTAATGCTTAAATTTCACAGTATAAACTCGGAAACTTGTTGATTTCCATACTGTTTTATTTGGTGAACATTGTATTTCTCGATTTTTTGAAAGTTTGAAGAGAGTAGAATGTGAATGCTTTTGTTAGGTTGTTGAAATGAATGGTTTGTTTTTCTGAAGTTGCATTTCATAGTAAATATATAAGGCAAGAAGTTCACCCAGATTTGAGATTCCTGTAGCTACAAATAAGATTTAATTTAACTGAACCTTGGAGAGAATAGTTTTTTGTTGTTGTTTTGGCATTCTGACTTCCAATCCAATCAAGATTCACATGGAAACCATTCGCTGGATTGATTGTTGATTACCATGATTTTGGAGTTTGGTATATGCTTTAGCTAAAACTTCCCATGTTTCTACAGGTATGTATCCATGGCTGATGTCATTGATATTTCATCATTGTTGTCATCTTCTCTTGTTCAAGCCATAGATTTCGGGGTTTTTATGTCTCTTTGGTGTGGTTTGAACATAGATGTGGCTTGCTCCACTGACTTGAACGCACAGTCCTTTTTGTTTGATAGTCTAAAGCAATGTGGATCTCTACTGTCAGGAACTAGTGGTAATTTAGATAAGTGTTTATATGCTGTAGAGGAAGATTGCAGAACTACAGTTTGGACATACCAAAATGATAATGGGGATGGGGTATTGGATTCATTCCAACCTGATGAACAACTGAAGAAGAAAAAGAAAATTCCTTATGTCAGAATACGGCGTGATGTATTTAAGACTCTGGGACCTGGTAAAGAAGCTGAATCAGCCTCTGTTCTGGCATTTGGAAGTCTCTTTACAGCCCCATACAAAGGCTCAGAGCTTTATATTGATATAAAAAAGGCCCCAGGAGATGAAAGGATAAAAACTTTGATGGAAAAGACTGAATTTCTTCCATTTTCTCCTGAAATTGTAAGCTTAGGGAAGCAGTTTGCTGTTAATACCATAAAGGCTCCTTTCCTTTGTGCACAGCTCAGGTTGTTAGATGGGCAGTTCAAGAATCATTGGAAGGCTACTTTTCTGAGCTTAAAACAAAAATTGGATTCATTAAGACAGCAAGATTCTCAGCCTATACATATTTTTGTTATGACTGATCTCCCTAAAGGTAATTGGACTGGAAGTTACTTGGGTGATTTGGCTAGAGATTCAGATAATTATAAGTTGTATTTTCTGCAAAAGCAAGATGTGTTGGTGATAGAAACAGCAAAGAAACTTGCAGCTGCAAGTCACAGTATGAAATCTGGATCTGTTCCCAGTAATCTCGGTGCACTGCCTAAGGTAGAGAAGCAATGTTTTCCTCACCAATTACCTGATGCACTTCTATACATAGAGGAAACTGTTTGCAGCTGTGCATCACTTGGTTTTGTTGGGACTGCTGGGTCGACAATAGCAGAGAGTATAGAGGCTATGAGAAGATTTGGTGTCTGTTCGAGTCAAACTCAGACAGGGTTGTGATATTTGTCCATTTGTGTTCCCAAATGAAGTTTAACTTGCAGGGTGCATTGGAAGAGTACGTGTCTGCCATATGTCCTTTGTTGCTGGTATGCAGCCTTGACAAATTATGGCTTCTAATCACACACATTAGTGTTATTTCTGCATTCAATTATCATGATTCTTAATGATCCAACCAGCATTCAAGAACATTTGACTTCAATAAACATCCAATCTCCTGCTGCTTTTTGTCAGAGGCAAAATTTCATCTATACTTCATAGGCAAATGTGCTCATATTTGAAAGCCCTTTTTGCTACTGCTTCAACTCCCTTGTACAATTGTTTTGGTGGATGGTAGTTACAAGCTTCTTGTTTATTGTAATGGTACTGGCTTCAGCTCGGCATTGGAAGATAAGATTAGCAGTCTTGGATGTGTGATATCAGACTTCATATACAGTGAAACAGTCAATCGCTGGAACATATTTTCCCCCTTTTTTTTTTTTCTTTAAATTTAAGATTCCATCTGAAGTACTAGTAATTTGTAATTTCAATTATTTTTCAGAAATATCAAATGTTCGATCAAATTTTCATTTCATTGTTGGGGGAGGAGAAATGTAAACTAAAGTCATGATTTCATGATTGCAAACTTACCTTCATTAGGGAAGTCAAAAATTCTACCTTCATACAGAACACTTGACATCATTAGCTGCTTTCTCTAGAAAGCAAACCAACAGCAAAGTCTGTTGTTTGGAAAACTCAATTAATAGTCAACAACGGCGGCTGTGCATCGGCTCCTTTTATCCGCTTGCTAAGGATACAAGAGCTATGCT